TCACACTCTTGCCGCACTATTAGGCTTTCAGCGTTCCCAGCGAATCTTAGGACTTTGCTACGTTATTGTCAAAGTCTCTTTACTCTCTGTCGTGGAGATCGGCGTACTTCCATTAGTTTGCGGTTGGTGGCTGGACATTTGCTCGTTGGCAATGTTTGATGCTACACTCAGAGATAGAGAATCCTCGTTCAGACTCGCTCCTGGCACATCTATGTTTATCCATTGGTTAGTGGGAATGGTTTACATATATTATTTCGCGTCGTTTATTCTTCTCTTACGTGAGGTCCTGCGGCCTGGAGTTCTCTGGTTTCTACGAAATCTGAACGATCCCGATTTCTCCCCTATACAAGAAATGATACATCTTCCCATATTGCGACACGTACGCCGATTAGTCGCATCTGCAATCATATTCGGTACGGCGATTTTACTGATGTTGTGGCTGCCCGTGAAAATCCTGAGATGGGCTTGGCCGGGATTTTTACCCTACACTGTGACTGTACAGAGCGAAGCTCAGGTAAGATAATCAACAATGTTTATCTTATTCTTTCCTGCTGCGGTGATTAAATAAGTTGTGTTCTCTAAATTCTAGGTCAGCGAGCTTTCGTTGGAGCTACTTTTGTTGCAAGTGATCCTTCCTGCATTACTTGAGCAGTCGCACACGCGCACGTGGTTGAAAGCTCTAATAAGAGCATGGTGTCGCGTGGTAGCGTGGATGTTGGATCTGCAATCATATCTTCTACGAGATCAGGCGGATGATCCAGGACCGGCGGTAATCGAGGAACCGCAACATCCGGATTTGGGCGCTGCGCATCAAGCGCTACTACAGAGGGAGGGGCCTACGGGATTTCAACCTTATGTCAGACCGCGGTGGTTCCCCGCGAGATTGGTCGGGCTTCTATTTTGCGTTTGCATATCCCTCGTGATCGCCAGTCTAGTCGCTATGACGCTGCCCGTATGGCTGGGACGTAGAGTGATGGCGTTGTGGATGGTAGGCGCACCTGCTCCGTCGCCGCCTGTATTACCGCCTACATTAACTGGATCTGGTAAGTCAAAGTTATTCGTTTTTCTTTTTATAAAAATGTTTCGTGCAATCATTTTAAGAGAAAATATTACAGATTTTGCAAAATATTCATTTTCGTACTTATTTTGGTGAATTTTTATACATATGTGAATATACATATTCATATTCTGTTTTGTAAATTGTGCACCGATTTCATTTTTTACCTTGAAACACAATTTTAAACTGAAACTGTGATAGTAATATCACAAATAAAATTGACAAGCAATTTAATGATATTAATACTAATAAAAGCTGTAATAAAAAAACTAAAAAATTTATTACAAAAAATATTATTTCAACCAGGGTTCGAACCTGGATATGTATAAAAATTCACGAAATATTATTTGGTACTGAGATCGGTATTCATATAATCCGTTCTTATTTAAGACCTTAAGTATAGTCTTAAGATGTCATAAGTAATCACACAGCCATATTAGCATCTTAAGACATTACTTAAGATGGTTTTGAAAACAGATTATAAACACCTAAGATCTACCTAACTCGAATAAGCATTTTCGTACTTAGTTGTGTATTCATATAATATATTCGGTCTAATATTATATATTCATTTTCGAAAATTTGTATTACTATAATTTTTTACTTTTCTTTTAGATGGTGGCGAGACTGTAGGTCCTCTATCCGGAAGAGTACACGAAGTATACACAATAGCCTGTGGGACGTACGTATGTTGGGCCGCAGCTCGAGGCTTAGCATTGGCGTTCTCCTGGTTGCCTCGCGGCCGAAGAGCCATCGTAGACCGGATCAAGCACTGGGCGATCTTGGCCGTAAAAGCTTCAGTAGCGTTCGTGCTGCTTGTTGGAGTCATACCGCTCCTATTCGGTCTTCTTCTTGAATTAGTAGTGGTAGTTCCATTACGTGTCCCGTTAGAGCAAAATCCCATTTTATTCATCTGGCAAGATTGGGCCTTGGGCGTACTGTATACGAAGATAGCTACCGCCGTAACGATGATGGGACCGGATTGGCGAATACGTCTCGCTATAGAGCGGGCGTACAACGAAGGAATAAGGGAAATGGATTTGAAGTTTGTCATCAAGGAATTAGCAGCTCCCGTCATATGTTGTTTCGGTCTTGCTCTCGCGGTTCCTTATGCCGTGGCCTATGGAATAGTTCCACTTCTTGTGACTAATCTGCAGACCCAGATTCTTATCGCCAGACGTCTATATCCTTTCCTTCTTTTAGTAAATTTGGTCTGCGCATTGATTTGCTTTCAGATACGTCAGTTTAAAAAGTTGTACGAGCATATTAAGAACGACAAGTATCTCGTGGGGCAAAGGCTCGTGAATTATGAACATCGTAACAAATCGCAGACCCAACAGCATCAATCACCAAGGTCGAGCTAACGGTGTCAATAGGCATAATATTGTTACGAACGGAAACGGATTAGGATTAGCTTCGTGTACATTCTTTAAGATTTACTTACTGATTGATAATTTATATTATATATATATATATATATATACATATATATAGTCATGGTTTTATTTTTAATATTATAATTTATTAATGTAAAGCGATACCGAATAAATCAAAGACTGTTATCTAGTATCGCTTTTCACTCTGATGCTTGATAGTTTTAACATCATATGTATACCAATTATCTTGATTAACAAATAATGAAAGAGATTTCAATTGCATTATTTGCAGTAATGAAGAATGACAAAGATTACAGAATTATGATAGATATGTTGAACAAATATAATTTTATTCTTTGCTACAAACTCCAAAATTCTGACATAGTCCATCTTGTGCCTATTCTATAATTTCTTAACGTATCTGTATTCTTCATGTAACTATCACTAATGTGTGTCGTTACGTAAGAATAATATAAAACCGTGTAACATAACGGTTAACATTATTAGGCAGTTATAAAATAGGCATACAGAAATATAAAACATAAATGTTACAAATATAAATATACAGAATACAACCTCTCGATAATTCTTTTAGATCTTAGAGAAAGAGATTAATGAAAAAAAGGAATATGAAAGTACATCGTGGTCATTGTTATCTAACATATTAGATTATAATGTCGATCTCTATGTAATAGAATTTCTATAAACCTGCATACATTTGACTAGTGACTGTAGTCAAATATTTTTGCTATAGTCTCAAATGTTTGCAAATTAAAGTTTCATATACGGGTTATACTTAATCACATTTTTTGGTTTTATTCATGAGGATTGATTATTTCTAATATTTATGCATAAATCACGTGTAGATACCTGATGATACGGTATGTACATGTATGTACAAAACGTTTACAATAAACTAATATTTTATAACAAGATAATATATTGTCCGTATGTATATACATATCTCAATATTTACTTATAAAATAACGTGATGCGCTAGTATAAAAGTTACATGTATATTCCTTTTACAAATTATTCTCACATATTCTTTGCAACCAAATTTCACATTATTTACTAAAAATAATAACACATTTAGTAATCACTCAATAAGCTTTTGATGCATTGTAAATAACAAGCAGAAATCAGATATGTACAAATAAAAAAATTCTTTAATTTCATTGATTTAATTTTTTTTGGAGGATCACAAATTGTAAAATTTAAAGTGATAAAAATTTATCATCTGAATTTGTAATTTAAAATTAAATTGTGTATATGTATTATATCTAAGTTTTTCAGTGATAATGAAATATATATTGCATTTAATATTATATTAAAATAATAATATATAATGAAATATATATATCATATATAATCATTATTATTAATCATAATAATATAGTACAGTAATTCTACATGATCATTATCATTAATAATAATGATTATATGTAATTTTCAATGATTAATAATAATGAATATATATAATAAAACGAAATATATATACTACAAATGAAACGAATATATATAATAAAAATATCTACTGTATATAGTTTTTAAAAATTAAAAATTGATTTTATTGCAGTCTCAGTGCGGCGGTAATCACTGTATCACATGCACTGTATCGTTCGTATTTTAACTAATTGTAGTAATTGTAATTTGTAATCCTCCAAAATTTATACAATTAATACAAAAGTAATAACAATAATAGACTACAAGTCAAGCTAGGTTGTAGTGTTATATAATTGTGTATTAATCATTATAAAATAAAATACAAACGTTTCGGTCTGTATCAGGTAACCGTCAGTGACATATAAACGATTTCCAATGATTGAACATATAACAAAATTTGCATATTATAAGTCAGTTACTTTAAAATGTTAAAACTGTTTGTAAAACTTGTAAAAAGTATAGCTACATATGCGTTCGAATGTGTGTATGTGTGTGTGTATATATATAAATTCCTCTGGAATTTTGACGCAGCTAAAATCATTAAGTAATTCATGACCTAATTATCACGAGTATAAAACTGAAGAAAAACTAGCACGATCCATAATTATTATATTATACTATGTAGACAGCTTTACAATTTTTCAAATGAACTACTTACGTGTACACTGAAGATGATCTGATAGAAATCGAAATGTTCGTATTTTATTTTATAATTATTATGTAATGTTCGGAAGCTTCTATATTATAATTAACCGTTATATGGATGTTTAATTATTAATACCATTGAATGCTTTACGCACTAATAACCGCGCTAACTCTTGATTATAAACCTTTTTCTTATTAATTTTGTTTTATTTGTACAAAAATTGTCTTTAATTCAACTAATTTGTCATTGCTTTCATTATTTAATAATTATTATTCTATTTCATAACAATTATGTAGGACTACAACTTAATTTGTAGCCCTTTATTGTTATTACTTTGTTTTAAGCCTCTGTTTATTCTTATATACAATGAATGTTTCTCCATGTATACACACACACACATATATACATAAATATTCATAAATTATTAAAAAATTCTTCGTCATATATATGATTTTATCACAAATCATAGTCGATCACTATAAAATTAATTAGAAATCTCTCTCTCTTTCTAGATCTGTCTACTGTTGTGGTGGAGGTAAAAGAATTGCTTTTATACGCAATTCTTCACTTTTTGTTATCCGTACATGCACCAAACTAAACAAATTGATAACCTAAAATAGATATTTGTAAAATATTAAAATTACTGTATTGATAATATATTTTGTTATTACACTATATAAAATATTACGGTAATACCTGTACAATAGGAGGTTCCTTCCAATTAACAGTTACAGTTGGTACATGATCTGCGGAATACTTCGATGTGGCAACGTCTTCTATGTCTTTAAATTTTACTTTTAATTTTATGCCAGTGTCACAGAGAATAACTTCTATACTGTCTCCTTTGACGCATAATACTATAGCTATCGCAGTAAAGCCGCCTGCAAGGCCTACCATATATGCAAAGAATACCTCCGTGCTCTGTTCGTAAGCCAGTTTCGCATTATATTTCTTTAAATTGCAATTGGCTGCAATCCTGTCACAAATTGAAGTAAAAGTTATTTATTGAAGCAAATTTTGTTATATTCTGCTTTCATGTTACATCATTAACGTACTTGGAACACAATTTGACCGTCCATTTTTCTGGTAAAGGTTTATTTTCAAACGTCGCACTAAGCAAACGATGAACTGTGCAATCGGCATATCTTCGAATAGGGGAGGTAAAGTGCGTATAAAAAGGCACATTTAATGCATAGTGTTTTAAATCATACGGCGAAGTGGTAGATGCGCATATATATTCTGCACGCTGAAATTAAAATTTGCAATATTACAGAATTATCAAATTACAAATTCTCCCTCGCTATTTATTTCTATCGTATAACGTTTAAAAATTATATGATAAAAAAAAATAAAAATTCTTACTGCCATAGTCTTTGAACATAGGTTTACGATAACCATTGTAATATATTTCATGGAATCGATCGTGACAGAGTTATTTTCTGGTTCATAGCGACTGATGCTGGCCTGTAAGTCGCCAGCTGTTTCAATATTTAAATGAATTCCATACTTTTGCAACATAACATGAAGTGAACTGAGACATCGCTTGGCCGGATCTTTATGCACACGTAATAAAGCCGTTTTGGGAATTGCAATGTACAATTGTGCAGCAACTGTCATATTTGCCAACAGCATAAATTCTTCTATAAGACTGAAATATACACATTTAAAATAGGTAATTGATGATTAAAAACGAAATTAATTTCTTCATAATTTAAGTGATGTAATAATATGTATAAATCAGTAAATGTTAACTGAAAAATCCACCTGTGGCTATCGATGCTTTCATATACATAATAGTCTACAGGTATCGGAATCCCGTGTTCTTGACTCAGCACGGGATCTATACGTATCTGTAACGTTGGTTTATTTAATCTCAGAGCCCCATGACCAAACCGTTTGTTTTGCAACTGAGTGGATAATTTAAATAACTTGTTCACTAGGTCAGATAATAACGATACGGTGTAGTCTCCTTTTATGTCTAGGAAATCTTTGGGCCAAGACTTTTCTGGATCGTCGAGCATAGCTTGAGCTAAGTCATAGGACATTTGACAACACGATCTTATTACAGTCTTCGCGAAACGGTGTTTCACAATTTCGGCCTCTGGTGTCATTTCCCAGATTACAGAAAAGGCTAATTTATCTTTACCAGAAAATAAGGAACAAACTTTACACAATGCCTCTGGTAACATGTGAGAAGTTGTGTGTGGCAGATAAACGGTAGTAGCTCGTTTCAAAACTTCGTTATCTAATGGAGAGGAAAATTTTAAGTAGTGCGTGACATCTGATATATGTACACCAATCTGAAATTAATGATTTGTTAGATGTCTTTCATATATGTTATAGTCAAATTTAATATATTGCAATTACTTCATAATTTCCATTGTCCAAGATTTTGCAAGAAAGGGCGTCATCTATATCAACAGCTGTTGCAGGATCTATCGAAAAAATACACTCATGCCTCCAGTCTTCTCTATCTTTCATGTCAGCGTCCGTTAAAATGTAATCACTACTTGGAAGTCCTTTCAATAGACTTTCATGATATGGAGACAAATTTAAATCATTTTCAAGTATTACTGCTGTTAATTCCGTATTTATTTCGCCATGTTTACCCACTACTGAAAGAATCCGCCTGTAAATAATATAATGTATATAACATAAGGACAATCAGCAATAACAGAAGACAGAAACATCAATATAAATTTATCATAATATATCTTTAAAATTAATGTTTTAAAATTGTAACATTACTTTATATATTAGATATGTGTAATGTGTATTGCACAATACAGTACATATGCCTACCCAAACGCATATAGCTGCTCCCACAAATCGATACTAACAAAAAACAGTATGTCTTTGAAAAGTTCTGGTTGATCGCGAAATGAAGGTGGTACTGATTCAGGAAGTATCTCAACAAATGGTATTCTATGATCTCTTGGATGAAATAACAGCATCGAATCATGTTTTTTTACAATATATCCAACTGCTCGTCTCGAATGTACTTTCTCTAATATACAAACAATTTTACCAGTCTTTTGTACTTCTCCATCAGGTGAAGTACGCCACAAATTTTCAGGGTTTACACATGCCACAACTAGATCTCCTTCAAAAGCACGATTTCTATTCGATATACCTATGATTACCAAGTCACGTTCTTCATTAGTCACACTTAAATAAGCGTATTTACAAGCAAAAGGATTTATACGAAGATGCCCTTTTACATATTGTGTACTACTATCGAATGATTGTTTTTTTAAAATATTCATCATTTTTGACACAGGTATATAATTTGAAAATATCTTCTTGAATGTTTTCCTTGTACCCTTTTTCTTCTTTGCATTGCTTTTCATTATTTCTTCGCTATACATTTTTTTCAATACATTCTCTGTATTTGATTTGTTTTCTGTTTCTGCCTTATTTTTTGTATTTCTCCTTGTTAATTTCAAGTGTTTTTCTTTATTACCATGTTGAGTATTGGCCTAATAGACAAATGATTACTGTTAATAGAGCAATAAAGTAAAATAGTTTTACAAGATTTACTACACAGGGTACTCCACTTAATATGATTACCCCCTTTTATCTTGGCAGAATAAGGTCATATAAAAAATATGATCAAACAAAAGTTGTAGCCTGACGAGGTACAAATAAAAAAATCAATTTTTTTGAAAAATTAATTTTTCATGATCATATGAAAGTTATAGTCTTTTTTTTTAATGGAATTGTATGATTTTTAAAAAAATAATATTTTCTGCAATTATTTTGCTTTTTTGAAAGTATCAAGAAATGTGAAAAAAATCAATAGTTTACGAGATATTGTATACTTCAATTTGGCATATTTTCACATGAAATAAACAGTATCTTGTAAATTATTTATTTTCTTATAAGCATATCTTAATACTTTTATGTACAGAATAATAAGACAAATCAGTTTTCAAAAAAATTATGCTACTTGTGGTATGCAACTACAAGCAACTGTTTTTTTACACTAATTAATTCATCTCAGTCTGCATAAAAGTATTAAGATACGATTATCAAAAAATGAATAATTACAAGATATTTTATATTTCATGTTAAAATATGCCAGTATAAAACTATTGATTTCTCGACATTTATACCTTAATACTTTAATATACAGAATAATTAGAAAAGAATCATAGTACGTAAAAAGTAACAATTCCATTTAAAAAAAACTTTTATATAATTATAAAAAATCAATTTTTTCGAAAACTGATTTTATCGTTATTTATGTCCCATCAGATCATACAACTTTTGTTTGAACATATTTTTGATTTGATCTGAAAAGATAAAAGAGGTGATTAAGAGAAAATATAAACATTCTGTTGACCAAGACCAATGACTGCCTATGTTGCAAAATATTTATATAAACAAGAACAATATATTCTTCAGATAATAATAGATAAGATTAGAGAAAGATATGTGTTATATATCTAACCTGATTTTTAACTAAATTCTTAGTCCTGTCTTTGCTGTTATCTGACACTGTTCTATCACTTTTCTTTTTTTCTTTCACAGACTTTTTACATTTCGGTGCTGTATTATGCTTTGTGTTCTTTGCTTCTAATTTAGAACTCCAGGAAGCCTGAGAGCTGCTTGCAAGCTGCATAGGATTCACCGTATCATCTTGCACAGCAATTGAGAAATTTATGGCTTGTTTCTCGGTTCCAACTGCTATGATCTCGTTGTATTTTGTGTTTTTCCTTTTGGACTGGAGACTCTTGGAGATCTTGAGATTAGCTGCGAGTTGCGCACTGAGCTCCGTTAATTCATCATAACGAGTAATGAACGTTTCGTTTGTCAAGAAAATCGCTCTGTGCACGCCACATTTCTGATCATTTTTGTACGTGTTACCATGACGCTTGTAGCAAAATCTATCTTTGGCCTTCTTCATGAATTTCTTAGCTCTCAAGCACTCGGGCACGACTGCGATTGAAGGAGTCATTGACGCTATATGGCGTATACTCACAGCCGTATCTAACGCGAAACACAATCGGGAAAAAAAGATACAGATTACAAAAGAGCAGATCACAGATAAAGCTTGTACTTTCTACGTATGTGTCAAGAATTAAAAATGCTCTCCCATGAACTGGAAATCCCCGACTGAAAAGCCTCGTCGAAAATTTCGTGAACGTTGTATCGTTTGCTGCTGCCTCAGGTCACATTGAAAGAAAAAAAAACTAAATACAGAGTTCGTTAAATCGACACGGATGAACGGTGAGAATTTAGATCAATTTTGGTTAGGGCGAAAACAAGACGAACTGGAGAGTCGTCGCACACGTGGTCACGTGGATCACGTGATCACTCGCGTCGCTCATTGGACGAGCCGGGCGACGTCGGTCATGTTATTGGTTGTCCGTTTGGCAGAAACTGGAGCTGAGTTTGGTCCGCTTGGAGTCGTTTTGAGATGTGTTGACAAACCTCGGTATTTTGAGGTTAGACGCGGTTGAAGCTTTCTTGCTCTCTAGACATCTCTATAAAGTAGAGAAAGCAATCGCCAGGTTGTGTAATTGAATTACATACATCGAGTTGTATATTAAATCGTGTTGTATTTAGCAATTGCGTTGCAATTGCATGGAAGGATTCGAGAATGGCTGAGATAGATATTTTTGACAATGAAGAGCAATTGCCGCAAGACCTGGGCGACGATGTCGTCCAGGAAGTCCTCAAGACTGGCACCGACCTGCGCGAGTATTCCAGGCAGATCGAGAAGGAGCTCAAGGAAGTTGAGAACAAGTCGATTCAAGATTACATTAAGGAGAGCGAGAATATAGCCAGCCTGCACAATCAGATCGCTGCTTGTGATAATATCTTGGAGGTTAGGTTAGGTTAGAATTTACTGTTGCATCAGATGACGTGTTGACGACGTACGATTTGATGCACAATCATGTCTTGTCGATAAAATACTATTAAAGACCGATAATCTTCTAGAAATTCATTAGATAATTTCTTTTCTAAATTTTAATTTTTGAAAGAATTAAAATTTAAAAAATTGAATATATATTTACATATAATTATAACAATATTAATTTTATGATTTATTATTATTCTTATATTTTATAAACGTGTACATGTATATATTTATGACTCAATAATATTTCACTTTTATTTAAAATTATAGTTATTTATTATTAACATTTAGGAGAAGAAGATCGATTTATGCATGCGAGTGATAATTTAATTTTATGACAACGTGTATAATTAATAATTGCGCCTTAAAAAAATATTTCGAACAAAACTTTGTGTTTATAAAAAAATATATACATTTTATTTATGAAGCATATAATAGTAAATTGTCAATTTGATACTGTTTAGATATTTATGTCAAAAACTTATATTGATGGTCAATAACATTGATATTCTCCAAAATTCTAGGAAATTTTTTAAAGTAGATAGTTTTTAATAATATTTCATTGATGTGTATGTATTAAATGCATTTGTACAGTCTACTCCAATAACTTGTCTTTGCAAAGTAATATTACTAATCAAGCAAAGTTTTATCAGAGAGACATTTAGATGCAGATTTCCATATTATTTTTTACAGAAAATGGAGTCAATGTTGATGAACTTCCAGTCAGTTCTAGGAAATATAAGTTCCGAGATAATTTCTTTGCAACGCAAGTCTGTTGCTATGAGCCAACAGCTGTCCAATAGACAAATAATACGAGGTCCACTTAGTCAATTTATCGAAGACATGACAGTGTCTGAGGCTCTGATTTCGTAAGAAGTTATTCATTTTATAAGAGAATGTTAGAGAGATAAACTCATTAAATGTATATAAATTTTCATATTAAATTGAATTTTTGTATATTTAATTATATTAATTTTTTTACAGTGGTATTATGGACTGTCCAGTGACTGAAAAGGAATTTTTGATTCAGTTGCAAATTCTCAATCACAAAATCAATTTTGTGAAGGAACAAAGTTTTAAGGAAGCCAAGTCTTGTTTAGATGTGAAGGATATATTAGAGAAGCTGAAAGTAAAAGCAATGGCAAAGATTAGGACATATTTGCTAGAACAAATTTATAAATTTAGGAAGCCAATGACGAATTATCAAGTGCCGCAGAACAACATGTTAAAATACAAATTTTTCTTTGAATTTATTTTGGCAAACGAGAGAAATGTGGCTGAGGAAATTTGTGGAGAGTACATTGACACTATGAGTAAAATATGTTACTCGTATTTCAAATCTTATTCATCAAGGTTGATGAAATTACAGGTAGAGAGAAAATAGTCTTATGTAAATAAGTTGAAACATCAAATTACAATAAAATTACTTTTCTCAGTTTGAAGAGAGAGCGACAAAAGATGATTTAATGGGAGTCGAAGATACAGCAGGCAGAGGTCTTTTTCATAAAACAACCTTAAAACATAAAGGTACTGTCTTTTCCATAGATACAAGGGGTCAGGTTTTGACTTCTCAATTGGAAGCACCTATAATTATCCCACATGCAGCTTCTAAAACACGAGTAAGTATTAATGATATATACAAGTCTAGTAAAAACCATAACAATCCTTAAGGATAGATTCTTGAGATCATTTTGATACAGAAATTCACAAAATATCGAGGCTATGATAACTTTTAAATTAAAAGCATTTAAAGTTAGTGAATCATATCATCTCAAGTTTATGCATTTAGGTGTGGTTGGAATTTTACATTGTACCACATTTGAATTTTAAGAGATATGATTTGCTTATAATTCAAACTATTATAGCCTCGACACATTTTGGTATTAGGATTTTCATTTCAAAATGAACTCAGGCAATCCTTTAGTGTTGTTATGATCTTTACTGGACACAGTATGATATACCAATGATATAACTATTATAACTTACTTACTCTTCAATGTTTTTTAAATTAGTATTATAATCTTACAGTATCATTATGAAGCTTTGTTCAGAAGTGACCAATATGCTTTGGTTGATAATGCTTGCAGAGAATATCTATTCCTGATAGAATTTTTCAAGGTCCGTAATGCACAGGCGTTAGATATTTTCAATCAGGTAAGAGAGCCATATTTAATAATTGATTTGATAGATTTAAGTAAATATATGTACTAAGTAGAGAGAGTAAATGTACTAAAAATAATTCCTTCCTTTTGACAGGTTATGGGGAAAACGTTAAGTCTTATGATAAAGAACTTGCAATCATTTGTTGAGGATTGTTATGATACAATTGCTCTATTTCTCTGCCTACATTTAGTGATGCGTTATCAATTAATATGTCATAAAAGAGCTGTACCAGCATTGGATAAATACTGGGAAACTTTAACTGGCACAATTTGGCCTAGGTATTTGAACATGTTTAAAAATAATTGCAATAATAATTATCTTATTAATTTGTATCATTACAATTTGTAAAATTATATCTGCTTTTTAGATTTGAATTTGTGTTTCAATTAAATATAAATAGTGTAAAAGACTGCGACCCGTCAAAATTCAATAAAGAGACTGGTCCACATTATGTAAGTGTTCAAATACAATGGATCGTTTATAATGGCATTTGATTACTGTATAATATTGAAATATGTGTGTGTTAATCTCTTATATAATTATGAATTTTTAGATTACCAGAAGATACGCGGAGTTTAGCGCCGCAATTGTAAGTGTAGTCGAAGGTTTTCCTTGTGAAGGGACAACTCAATTATTGGCAGAACTAAGAGAAGCTGTACAATGTTTCCTGTTAAGAATGGCATCTATTTTCCCAAGTCGAACGCAGCAATTAGTATTTCTTATCAATAATTATGATCTGGTCCTCAGAGTATTAATGGTAAGTAGGTTTTATTTGAAAGATACGAAAATATATTAACGTACTAAAAAAAAATTAATGGATATTTGACTGCAGGAAAGGACACGAGAAACCTCGAAGGAAGCAGAGAGCTTTCGGGAACTATTAAACGCACGTTCTTCCGAATTTATCGAAGAAGTCTTAAGTCCGCACTTTGGTAGTATAATCCAGTTGGTGAAGGAAGCAGAAGCTTTGAGCGAAAAGGGTCAAATAGACGATTTGAAACGACAGGAGAGCAAAGTGTTGGCTCTAGTGCAATCTTTTACGAACAATTGGAAGCGAGCGTTAGAAGAAATAAATCGAGAAGTGTTGCAATCGTTTCCCAGCCTGGTGCTTGGCAGCACATTAGTGCAAGGCGCAATGACACAGTTGATACAATATTATAATCGTCTTCATAAGATCTTGCCAACAAATGCACGCACGCAACTTACGAACATCCATCATATAATGGTAGAAATTAAGAAGTATAAGACGAATTATTAGGCAACTTTCTGAAGAAATTGATTACCCAAGACAAATCCCTAAATAACGGCAATCATTGATTATTTTCTATAGAAGAATCACTTTTATTATTGTATATAGAAATCAACTGTTGCAGGGATTTCAAATTCTAGTGATTATAATTATGTTTTAAAGAAATATGTAAATTTTGTTTTATTAATAAGTATCGTTTAGGAAAGTTGGGGAACGCATTCTTGTAAATATAATCGCAAAAATATATTCTGTACATTTATTTATAAAAAGATATGAGCTATATGAGAACTAAACATGGTATTGCGTTACCATTCTATACAATAGTGATTAATATTCCGTACTTGTGCTCATGGCACGAGGCACGAGTATACGAATCTCTGGTTTTTTTTTGCTTATCTTATATAAATTAATATGTATACACATACGTTAAAATGGTCTCGTTACTTTTTTCTCTGATTTCGCGACACCTATGGCATAACATTTCAATTTGTCGGTGATTGAATTTAATTGTGCGTGGCGACGATCTGTTTGTAGAGTTTATAATCACTTTGATACAATTCGATTTAATCGCCACGCATTTCGTCGCATTTACACAAGTAATTTATATTCACTTGATATATCGAGCTTTTTAGTGTTTCAGAAATTATAAATACGATTCGTTTAATGTTATAATTTATCAAACGATAATCACCTGCATGATTGCAACTTGTGCATTTTAAATCGTCAATTTACATTCATTATGATATCATTTTATAGAACACCGTCAAGAGCATGTAACACACCGTTTGTTGCTGGCACATTATGTGTTACGACATGTGCTTCATTTATTCGTACTCGTCCTGAAACAACAATGTATGTTAATCATCTGAGAGATTA